CCCCCCTCTCTAATAAGCCCCCTCTCTAATAAGCCCCCCTCTCTAATAAGCCCCTCCTTTTCAGAGGGAGAAAGTTAATAAGCCCCCCTCCCCCAATATTTAATTAAATGTAAGAGATAAAAAAATGTAAATTTAAGAGGGGTTCTCCAGAGATTTTCGTTTGTAAGTTGTGTATAACAAATCAATACAAGTAAACATTCTCATAAAAATTACCGAAGAACATTAGACCGAAAGCACATTTTGGAAGAATAAGGATTTTGTTTTTGTTACTTTTAAGCTCCCACAAATGAATTAGATACTTTTGACAGTGACTTTAATTGTACAACGCGTAAGTCTACTCTGTCTCATACCAAGGTATTTTTGCTACAGGTGATGCATTTGGCTAAATTAAATAAGCCCCCCTCTCTTTTAAGCCCCCCCCACCTCTATTAAGCCCCCCCCCCTCAAAAGTGATTAAAAAAAACGCCCCCTGGGGGACTTAATAGAGGATTTACGGTAAGTATGGCTTTATGTCATAATTATGACTGACTGGCATCATCATGGTTTCCATGGTTACTAGTTAGTAGAGTAGCAAATTTGATGTTGTGGCTTCATATTAGTCAGTAAAAACTTCTACTGAGAGCCAGGAGGGGGATTCCTGAAAGTGTCATGTTACCCCTGATTGAGCCCTATAACCTCTTCTCCGCCTAGCAAAGAAAGGAGTGTAAGGGGTACAAAGTTTTGTAAATAAATAATTCTCAACATTCAATTTTACCACCACGAAGTTCAAAGTCTTGTTTATTATTTAAAAAAAACTGGGAACTCCCATTGTAGGTGCAAGCCTAGTCTTCTCACCTGTGGTTGACAATCCACATGTCGACATTCTTCTCTCAATTGTTCTCGAAGAAACACTGGTTCTTTTAAAACCCCGATCAATCAATGAAGATAGTTTCTCCTCTGTTATTTCGAACGACGGTCACGAATGGGCAAGATGACAAAGGTCTTCGACCAGTTTTCCCTTTAACTTCCTGTCGAGTAGATTTCTGACCATGGTGCGATTAATAAGCTCAAAGCAAGAGAAGACATCCGTTTTGCTAATGGTCGGAGTACAAATAGAATGTGAAGGACCATATTTAAGTATTTCCAATTGTTCGGACGTGAGATTGTGCGACGAAAGGTTGGTGACTGTTTCCGTTCAAGCAAACGGTAGAACCACGTTTCGCGTGAAACCTTTAAGTTTCTTCTCATGAGTGGCGATAACACGTTTCACAGCCTTCTTGACATTATATTTAATAGTTCCATGGAGGATGTATCCATCGATGTTGCTGACAATGCCATTGATATGCACCGCTAATCTGTCTCTTACTATGGTTAACTTACAGAGTTCCTTTCTTCGTTTGGCGATAGCACTTCTTAATAGACGTTTTCGAATAGCATGTACATCATGTCTACTTGTGTTAGGCAGTTGAAAACTGATGAACTTCGGAAACACATTGAAGGATAAACAGTTTTTGAGACAGTTTTTTAAACAGTTTTTTTCCTTTTCGACCCATAGTATCTTCAATAGGTACCTACAATTACAATTTATCTAGCTAAGTTCCTTTGTTATCTTCTAGAGCTACATGTCCCGCGTGAATACAACGTCCGCGACACGTTTTCTTTTGTACATGAAATCAACCAGTTATCAACCTCAGGGAAGTTCATGGTATCTTTCGATGTTGAGAGTTTGTTCAGTAGTATACCTCTTGATGAATGCATTGATCTGGCGATCAGATACATTTATCAAGGTAAACCTGGTCTTTAGATAAACGCCGCTGACCTGAAAACGCTTTTTCCCTTCGCAACAGCTGAGACTGGTTTCTTGTTTAAGGGTGTGTTTTATGATCAAATAGATGGGGTTGCCATGGGTTTGCCATGGGGTCCCCACTTGCTCCAGTAATTGCAAACCTCTTTATGGGACATCATGAAAAAACCTGGCTAGA